GGACTATTTCTAGATCCTTCTCTGATTATTTTAGATCCCTTGGACCTTACAAGTCTGTTGTTGTTGTGGTTAATACTCTGTACTGCTGAACTAAAGTTCTTCCACAGGATGTTATGCCATGTCTCAACTGCTTAAAGTAAAAGTTTTAGAAAGCCTGTTCATCTAATTTGATTATCATATGTTGACCTAGTACACCTTTACACTTCCATGAGAGCAATGTGTTCATGCTCAGGAGGAAATGTTTGTTAGTGCAACTGCAACTTATAGAAAATGTCCATTATCGCATTCAATATATGTCAATGTTCAGTAGGTTATCATTGTTGACGAATGAAAACGTAGAATACCACATAAGACTAGTTGTTTTTCCTCTGTAAGCTGAATTAGCTAATGTTTAATGCTATTAAATATGACTTTTGAACTAGATTGTATATATTGAGTGATCTCCAAACCCAAACCCACCTTTTTTTTGTGTGAGAATTCCTAAACACTTCTCGTTTCTTTTGCTCACCTACATTTTGCATATCTCTTGGTAGCAGTTTCTAATTTATAGTAGGGATGCCATTGTTGTTTCCTTCCCCTATGAAATACTGTTCTTGTGTTTTACTCTGCAAAAATGGTAGTATTAATTAGGAGATAGTCTGATACGATCTTTTATGTATTGGTTTTGCTTTCTATGTGGTACTTGACTTCTCTAATGTTTGATGTGGCACTATTGTTTGTCTACAAGACTCTAAATATTTAAAAATCAGTGAACATGCACCAACTGATATGTTGGTATTTGCATGCAGCTAGTTGAATTCCTCTCACCTGAATACTATTACTTGGTTAAGTGAATCTAGTAGATTATTTTTTTTCCCGACTTTTGCATCTTTGAAGTAATCTGGTTTCAACTTGTTCGTTCAAGATTAGCTTTCAACTTTGTGAGGGAGGCTGAAGCTATGGCAAGAATTCGTCATTTCCTTTGCCAAAATAACAAAAAATCCCGTGTTGGGCTACCTTGTGTGATACGAGACATGGTCAGCAGGTATGCTCAGGTGAAGAAAATTTGCTTTGTCCGAGTTGCATAGTGAAACGTAAGATGAGACTATTTACTTTAGCTCCTCTTTTGGTTATTAATTACATTGAGTTTTATTAATGTGTTTAACTTTGTCAAGACATAACCGATAAGCGTTTAACTTTGTTATGAATTGACTAAGTATTCAACAAAAGTCGACTAGTTTCTCCACTGTGATACTCATTCCACAGTACTTACATGTCAGATCCTTAACATAAGGGTCTTCTTCTATTCTGGCTGGACGCACTGTTGCAACGCATAGTCGATGATACACATGGATCACTTTGTAATTTGCAGTTGTTTTCATACTCGCTTTATTATAAGTTTTGTAGTCTCCCTGATACTGTAATTTGCTAGACATCAAGGATTGATATACTATTTTCTGTCGTCCTGGTTCTCTTGAAAGGAATATTACTTTTTATCACCTACTCATGGAATTAACCCTCATACACTGGGTGACGCATGTGTAGCCTACTAACACGCCCACGTGCAATGGGACTTGAATGTGAGATTGGTTCAACATTGCTGTTTCAGGATTTTTCTAGTGGGATCAGTTTATTTGAATGATATCTTATCAAGTCTATTTGCCCTTCCCTTAGTCATTCTCTATTTTTCACTAATGTTATATATTCTTTAAATAAGTTCAGAGTAATTTTAACCAAATATGAAGAGTTTTACAAGTGAACCTACCTGCTTGTTTTATACACCGACACGTTTCCTTGATGTATAAAAAGTCTTCCACCTTTGTTCCCCTTTAAAGTAGTCATTTTCATGTCCGTGTATATTTGAATGTCCATGTGGAACTCCTCTATATATATTGGTCTTTCTTAAGATGTTTACAGTGAAGCTCCCCCTTTTTCATTCTTAAAGTGCAGGAATATCCTTAAAATTTTGTCATTTGCTTAAGGACAAATGATACTCAAGAGTGGTTTCTTCCGTGCAGATCCTCATCTGGGAAACATTTTGATCTGTAAAGGTTCTGAGGCAAGTGCACATTGGCATACCTATACTTATCCCTGTTCTTCAAGTTTCATATTTGGTTCTTCAAATACCTAAACTTTCCCCTGAACTAAGCGTTTACAGATTATCGTTCTTGCTGATTAATGCACATCAGAGATTGTTATCAGCATTATTCCTTTCAGGTTGCATTGCTTGATTATGGGCAAGTGAAGGATCTTCCTGATGAACTGAGGCTTGGATATGCTAAGTTGGTTCTTGCAATTGCCGATACTGATCCTTTAAGGGCATCAGAGAGCTACTGGTTTTATAATTTGCCTGAAAGTTTTTGTTGTAAATCTATATTTTCCTTTTTCTGCTTTCACAGCAGAAGAGAATTTGTGCGGTGTCTGTTACCTTATCATGGTTGCAGTTGGCGATGAAATGGCAGAAATTGGAGAAATCAGTTACTGTCCTTTGTTTGGGACTTTGGGTAGCAGGTCTTATTTTCGCCAGTTGTTATGCACATGGCAAGAGAAATAGACAGAGAAAGAAGGAGGGGGGGGGGGGGCATATTTGACAACATAGGTCACTATTGACTGTAAGATGGCAGACCTGGTCATTTTATTTGTTAAGGTAAAATGTATTCATGCACATTTGCAACTATGATTGCGAATCAGCTATCATTAGACACGTTCTCACAGCGGAGACCACCTTGAAAATAATATATCCCTTGGCATACCTGGTGAAAGATACCATATCCTTCATAGGCTATTAACCATTCAACCAGAACTAGTGGCTGATTTTTCTGTAACTGCACTATTATGACTTGCGCAATCTGCTCTAATGCGCAAACAACAAAACTGCAGGCTTGCAGCAGTCTAACCAATTTTTTCTGTTTTCCTTGGTAATGAACATTCTTTAATCTCTGGGAGCTTGAAATCGAGACCTTGAGCAAATGCGAGAATGAACAAAAGGAAGTGCTTAGGCTGGCGCAGACAATGTTTGACATAAAATTATCCCCCGGAGTTACAATGCGGCAACCTTTCGCAGAAGAATTTTCAATCAAAAAGATTGCTGTTAAGGTATGTCCTTAAGTTCCTTAGGTAAAAAATATATAGCTACTCTTTGCTGAGAGCTGGATTTACTGGTCGGGAAAATTGAATGCAAGTGGCTTTTAGGATCTTCTCAATTCGTACATAATGTTTCTGTCCTTGTTTTTTCTGTTGCATCTCTTTTATTTTTTTTTTTTTTTTGGATGATGGTTATTCTTATTATTGTTGATGGGACCTTACATATCTGTGGAAAACCCACTATATTGAGCTGAAAGAAATTATCAGAATGGTTGTTCGGAGCGGGTATTAAGCTCAATGTTTCCAAAGGTT